CAGTATTTAAATAAACATGACAAAATATGTTCTGCATCTGCCTACCAGTAAAAAAGGCAAAACGGTTTCTCACCCACTGTACGTCTATTTAAGCCACTGAACACATCAACTAAAAAGGACAGAACCACTTAGATCCACAATCTAGTTACTCTGCACCAGTTCTAAGAAATATTTTAAAATATGAGAAACTATGAAAATGTACCGGTAGGTTTTTTTTATTTATCTTGTAAGCCAAATACAAATATATTCAAATGAAAGACAACCTGGAAGTCGACAACACACAACCTTTTTTTTTCCTGTCCTATTTAAAGCAAATACATGTAATGTCTTTTAAAAACACGTTAAGGTTTTCTGTGCACAGCTATGCACGTATTATGAAAAAGTCAGCCATCCTTAAAATAATAGTAATTTCCTCTCTAATTCTTCAGTCACAGCTTACATTCTTTGTATTAGAGTTGATTACATTGGTGTGGGTTTTCTTCTGCAGGGAATGTACGTTAATTGCACTAAATCTAAATGCATTTTAAGAGAAGCTCCTTGAAGCAATTTGCAAAACTTTGACATGCAAAAAATCACAGGGTTTTTTGTTATTATTTTTAATGACTACGTACACATACAAAGTGATACAGGAAATTATTGCTCTTCCTAGGAAACCTGTTGACCAGGTACTGAAGAGCTGCCTTGGGAAACCTGGTTCTCTACCTGGAATTGTATAATTTTACTGTGTCTTTCCCTCACAATCTTTGCTGCTGTTCTGCAGAAATGTTCTTGCTTTGCTGCCTCCTGCAAAACTGCTACCAGCAAGCTTTTCACATGCTCTTGCTTTTCATATTTCCTTTAAATGAAAAATGCAGAGCTAGTTTGAAAACAGATTTCTTGAGTTTAAAAAGGAAGATCAGCAATTTGAATCAAATCAAAATAACGTTTCTTTGCACAGAGAAGCTAAACACCTCAACCTCTTCCTCTCTACATAATCAGTTCTTTTGCATTGTCATTCTTTTGCATTTAAGTGAGCTTGGCTACGAAGTTTGCTCTGTCCACCACCAGTGAAGAAAGGTTCAGAGCTGCACTTTTCTCTCCATGTGTTTCCTCTCCTTTTTCGTCCTGCATGTACATGCACTACAAGGCTGCCTGGGTGAGCCTGGCAAGGACAGGCAGGCCACTCCGTTTTACAGTCTTAAAAGACCACTGTGCTAATGAGATGCTGCAACTCTGGAGCACAACTACACTGTAGTTTCTCTGCTTTTGAGTTTGTTTGTTTGCCTCACACTATGAATCTAAACGTTTCTTCAAACACCAAGTGCATGAAACCAAATAAACGCTAGCTGAGCAGTGTCAGAAAACCCTCTTCTCTCTCTCTCTCTCTCCCCCTTCATCTCTCTCCCCATCCTCTCTTTCCTTGCCTGGCACAGACCTCCAATTCATCCTGAAATGCAACTCTCCTGAAAGATGTCAAAAAGAGAGAGAGAAAGAAAAAAGCCCAAGCTAAACACAACAGAAATGAAAGATTTCTGAAGACAGTATCAATTCTTCCTGGCTTTGGGGCTTGGCTAGGCGTTGGCTTTATTTTGTTGTGTTTTGGTTTCCCATTCTATTGCCCACTACTTTCCAAACTCCCCTTTAGAGAGGACACTGCCTGGCTGCTTTTCCCCCATGAATGACACTTCCCGAGGAGTGTGGAGCCTGCAACCCTCTCTCTTTCAAGCCGGCAGCTGAGGCTCAGACCTATGCACTGAAATGCTTGCGCTCCTGCTCCCCCAGCCCCAACTCCAGCCCGACGCAGCCTCCCCCCACCCCCCGCCTCCCACCACCTCCTCCCCTGGATACCTTCATTTTTTTCTGCCACTGTTCAGTATGCAGCCTGATTTCTCCGCCAGCTTCCTCAGGATGGAGAGATAGATAAATACAAGAGGGAAGGGAGGGAAGCTCGTACAGCTCTGCTCTCCATTCCTCCCCCAGCCTTCCCGCTAAACCCATTGTACACGCAGCTCCTCGGCACCTTCGAATGCTGTCCTGCCTCATTATTTACCTTCAAGTAAACCGATCAGAAAAGGAGATCAAATTGAAATAACAAACCTACCTGGCTCTCTTCTCCACCCCCCCCCCCCCCCCCCCCCCCCCCCCCCCCCCCCCCCCCCCCCCCACCCAGCAGCAACAGCAGCGAGAAAATAAATGTTTCACCCCTTGAAACAAATTCAGACGTGCAACAAAATAGATTTTCCGCACATCCCCTTTCAACACCCCCCATATCCTCACAAGTGAGACAGAAAACAAGTGGGAGAATTGCACAGGGCGATTTGGGGGGCTGTCGATACTATTTCTTTTAAAAAAGAAAATTAAAAAGCAAAAAGGGGAAAAAATAAGAAGCCACCAACAAAAAGGGTAACACATTTTCCAGACAGGATGGTTAAAATAAAAAATGCAATTAAGGAAGGGGAGGGCATTGAGGAAGGGGGAAATCCACCTTTTATGGTGATGCAAATCTGGCTCCAAAATAACAATGAGTAAAGAAAAAGAAAAAAAGAAGGGGGAAAAAAAAAAAAAAAAGAAAGAAAGAAAAAGCTGAATACCAGATGCATCTTCATCAAGGTTCCACCAGCTGATGGGCTGGGAGGCAGGGGGTGTGTATGTATGTGTGTGTGTGTAGTTTTTAAAAAATAAAGACGCACACACACAAAAAGAAATATGTATATATACTTTATAAAAAAAAAAAAAAAAAAAAAAAAAAAAAAAAAAAAAAAAAAAAAAAAAAAAAAAAAAAAAAAAAAAAAAAAAAAAAAAAAAAAAAAAAAAAAAAAAAAAAAAAAAAAAAAAAAAAAAAGAAGAAGAAGAAGGAAATACAGAAACAGCAAAAGAAATTAAAATTTCGGAACTCAAACCGTCCCCCAACAACCCTGTGCTACAAAAAAAAAAAAATCCCACAGGAGGTGGAAAAATTATATACACATATATATCTCAATTCCCAAGGAAATCTTACAAACAGAAATTTATCACCGGTAACAAAGAAAAAGAGGAGCTTGCAAGCACCAAATGCTCCTGGCAGATGGCTCCTATTCTTGGCTTTCAGGGGAGGGGAGAGAAGCCGGGGGAATATTTTATTTATTTATTTAAATTTTTTAAAATCTCAACATAAATATTCGGATCCGTCGCGGCTCAGGCTCAGCCCCGGGCTGGCTCAGTACGAGCCGCCGCCCCCCGCAGCACAGCAACTTGCGGACTCGTCTTGCGGGGCGCGGGAGGGGGGCTTAGGGGGGGATGGTCCGGTCGGGCTTCTCGGTGGAGCGCGGGGCCACGGCGCGCCGAGCATTCATTTTCTTGCCACCCCCCACCCCAGACTGGTCCTATGCTACAGGAGGGAAAAGGGGACCGGCCTGACCTCCCCCTTTCCCGTGATCCGGTGGCGTCGGAGCAGCTGAGGGCTCCGCGCCCCGGGATATGCCCCCACATATTTCCCCCCCGCTCGCGGCACAAGCCCCGCGGGGACAAGAGCGGCGGAGCGGGGCGCCCGCGAGGGGACCTGCCCCCTACTCTGCCTGCAGGCGCTCGCCCCTCTCCCGGAGCTTTAGGGGTGGGAACGGGAAGGAGGAGGATGCTGGAGCTATGGGGTGTGTGGGGGGGGAGCGTCTCCTTCCCTCCCCCCCGCTTTATTTTTTCCTTTCCTATTTTTCTTTGGGGAGGTGTGGGGGGGGGGGGCATATACGTGTATTTTCATTGGAGCTTCAGCAAAGTGCAGCCTCCGCTCCTGCCCCGCAGCCGAGCCGGTACCACTGTCCGGCCCGCATTTCGTGCACTCCATCCCCGTTCCCCCACCTCGGCTTTCCCTGAGACCCTCCGTCAACGACAGACAGCCCCGCCCGCACCTCGGCAGCCCCTGCCCTGCCTCTAGCCCCAGCCGAGCTGGTTATGCCTTCCCCCGCGCTTCGGAGGAGAGTTCTTTTCCTCCGCCGGCGATGCACCTGGGGCGGGCAGGGCGCAGTTTCCTATCTACCTGCCCCGCGCCCCAGCGCCGGGGAGATCGGCCCCGTCGCCGGCCCACCGCCTCCATGTGCTTCCCTCTAAGTCCCCCCGGCCGCTGAGCTTCTCCCCCGCCACTCTGCCCACCTTGATCCGCCCCCCCCGCTCCGCGGCCCGGCTGTCACGCCGAGGCAAGGCGCTCGGCCAACTTTTCCCACCGCTCTGTGCTGGCCCCGGAGCAAGGACCGAGGAGCGGGGCCGTGGGCGAGCGGCTGAGCCCCGGCGGGTCGGCCCAGCCCGGCCCGGAGCAGCGCGCCCCGTTCCGCCGCCCCCCGCACACGCACTCGCTCCCCGGGAGAGCCCCGCGCCCCCCACGCCGCGCTCTCCCCGCCGGCAGCTCCTTCCCCGCTCCACGCCGCCTGCTCTCCCGCCTGCCTGCCCGCCTCACCTCCGCACCGCTGCAAAAACGCACAGCAAACTTCGGGCTTCTCCCCCCCTCCACCCTCAGCCCATCCCCCCCAGCCACACACCCCCCTCCCCTCTTT